CATTGAATCATGTTGAAAAGGAGAATATTCTCATTATGTCAATACTTGCTTCTTATCTTTAACCAATCATTAATTGTACATTATCATTGTTTTGCTTTTACATTCTTTTCTTACCATCGTATTTATTTCTACGGAATTGTATAAATCGTATATAAACTTTTATTTGTAAATTTATGGTAAAATTTATCAACTTTTCTCTCTTTCGCGTTTGATTTCTTTGATTGTTCCTCGTTTTTCTCAAATTGTTTTTCACAAATTCAACTTGGACTTCTTAGTCATTGCGATGTATGATCGTGATTGAGAAAGCACATTCCGATGCGCGAAGAACTCGGGAGATTGACGAAAGAATCGCCGATAGAACGAGGTATTAGAACAATATAGGAAACGATATATAAGAAACGATACATAGGAACGAATAGAACCAGCATGCGGTACAGCACACGAAGAAGAAGAAAGTCAACACTGTTCTCTTTCTCTCGATTTGTTCAACGTTGTAAACAATTCAACGTTGCGCAGTCAGGAGAGAACGTAACGGCCCCCAAGATTGAGCAATCGCGTTTCCGTCCGTCTCTGTGTTCGGTTGTCGTACAATGTATATATCTTGCGTATACAACACACACCACGTTTCGTCAATGGGTGGAAATCCTTGGAGCGTTCTGGGCCGCGCGTTAGAAACTTCCGCGCGGACAATTTCGACGGGCGTTGCCGCTCAATTGGATTAAAACGTCGCGCTCATTTCGTATAGCATTCCGGGAATGTGCCGCTGCTGTGTATACGTTTCATCTGCTCGTTCACGCGTGAATTTATTTCAGAACGCAGTTTTCGCCGCGGGGAAATTATCGTGATTTCGTTCGAAGCGTCGAATCAAATTCGTCGTTGATCCGCTTCCAAGCAACAAACACGCGATGTAATTTCTTTGCCGGTGATGTTCGTTTTTTTTTTTTTTTCCAAACATCCCGTGTTTTGTTAACACCTCGAAATTAAAAACAAGACCGAAAATCCGCCATTATTGTTACGGAGACAAATAGTTTTGTTTATCTCAGTTGCGGTCTGGTATGTCGTCGTATCTATATCCGCGCGATACGTGGCGCGTGATAGTTTTTCCGAACGTAAATCCTTTAAACTTCTCTAGTTTTTTTTTGTTTTTTTTGTGTATTTGATCAACATGGAGCTTTCATTTCCAGTCTCTCGACATCAACGTTACACAGGCGGCGCGCACACGTTGGAAACGCGAAGGCGATTTATTCCCCTAATAACGTGGCGCGCACACTAGATGCGCGTCTGTCAGACGCACATGCCGCCGTTTCTCGTAACAGGATGCGTACACCGACCGCACTCGGTACTAATTCAGCCGTGTGTATTAGAGCACATGAATAGAGATGATCATTTGATGAGACGCGCACGCGAGATGATATCTCCATTATTTCGCGATAATGGAAGAGGCAATTCGCGCGCGGAAAAAGACCGACCGATCGCGAATTCCGTGACGGGAGAAGAAGCGCGACTTTCAGATGCCTCGCCAATTACGTTACGATACGAACTCGCGCGTATACTTACATGTATACGTACAATCGCGCGCGTTGAGATCCATTCCCGATGCGTGTGTGTGGCCGTTCGCGAGGTTGAAATTGTAATGCGAAAGCATACACACGCGCGATTCAGAGCGCAATCTCTCTTTCTCTCTCCAACCCGTCATCAAATTTTCCTCTGTGCCATTTCCTCCGAGTTATCCTTTCGCGATTGGAGAGAGAAAAAGGTGCCTTGCTATTGAGTTTCTGTTTGACGTAAAGACTATACTGCAATTTTTATCGTAATATTAGCTCATTCGCCACCTCCGCGGACTTTGATGCCGGCGCTTTTATTTCATTTCCCTCTCGTTCTCTTTTCGTAGCTTTCAACGCGACGGAAGTTCACGTTATAAAAATCCAAGGGAAAAAAAACGAAACGTGTGTTGCAAAATAAAAGCGTCCAGATTTTCACCGCGGGCAAATATAAAATTTAAAAATACAATGAAATTCCCTACACGCGGAAATCTTTTGAGGTCTCTTTTACTAAGTTTTTTTTTTTAATATTACGAAATAACCATTTTATTTCCCGAGATTTTTGTCGCAATGTAATGTACGTAACAACGAATAACTGATAACTGAACTTAACGATAACGGATAACTGAAAGTCACCACACAGGCGCGCGTAGCTTCTTGAAGCGTTTCGAATGAAATCTCGAGGCGAGCTGAGTAGAATTATGACGGTTACGTTCTAATCAATGCCGCGTGACGAGGGCGTGTTATCGCGTGTCGCAAGACGAGCACGAGCGATCGAGCCGCGTGTGCAAACCGGGCCGAACCCACGTGCGGCGATTCACACCGCGTGGCTTTTTCCTCGCAGCATCCGTTCATTGTTTCATTTGCCGCGCGTGTCTGTTTCTTTTTCTCTCTCTTCCTCTCTGTTCCTCTTGCGCGGCGCCGGGAGCTTTGTGTACATTACCGCAGCGGCGGCAGCGCAATCGGTTCGCATTCACCGAACGCGCGAACAAACAACGCAAAGCAAGAAACCTTTGCAGGTGAGAGCACAAAGAGATGTATAACTCGCATACTGAATGCCGTTCGTAATAATCGCTCGGAGCCGCAACACCAAGAAAGTGGTTACCGTAAGTCGGATAACGCGTTACACGTAGGCTCTCGTCGGTTCTCCTTTACCGAACCAGCCGCTGCGCGCCGCAACCGCGCATCTGCGGCTCTTTCACTTGGCGTAAAACCGTAAGAAGAGGCTTGAAAATTGAACATTAAAATAGAATTTTAAGACGACGCCGGGAAATCATTCGCCGTTCGGTTGTTTACAAGCGAATAATTGTCGTCACGCGTACTCATTACTTTTTGACGACGTTGTCACTCATTACTTTTTTATGGACACTGTTCTAGTTTTTTGTACGATAAATAGTGGATTTTTTCCTGCGTGAGGAAATACGAAACAAATGCTTTTATGAAATGATTCTTTTATCTCCCCGAGTCGAAATTTTGACTCTCTGATGAACCTCTCATTCTACTATATATAGGAGTTACGATAGTAAAGTAGGTTCAATTGCAAGGATAAAATTTGCTCCTACTTTCAACCTAAAAGTGTCACAAATTTCCATTTTCTCCAAGTTAGGTTTAAAGTAGGTTCTATTTTTGT